GTCTTCTACGTAGCCCATCGTGTTGTTGACAAAGTATTTCTTGAGGATGACTGTATGGCCACCCTGATTACAATTACATATGGCACCCTGGTCTGCAACGGACTCGGAGCACGATCCTCCGTAGTCACCAACGATAAGGTCGTGGTGAACAACGAAGCGATTCTGAGAGAAAAGATTTTCCTGGAGGCTCACTCGGTCCTTAACCCAGGTTTCATAGAATATAAACTTTGCGATGATGGTGCCGGTGATCCAGCCGGACAGCATAAAATCGGCCTCATTGAATCGATGCTCGGACTCCTCCCAATTGTCGCTGGTAAATTTCATGCTGTAATAATTGGTTGCGTTGTACAGCGTCATTTGTTCACGGAATATCTGAGTGTGATAGTGCTCCATATCTGTGGCCCTCAGATTGGTACCAGTCGTGACCACCTGCCCGTTTCGAGGGGTAATCTCATTATTAGAGACAAGTTCCAAGTAGGTCTTGGTGAGGATATCCTGCTCCACAAAGGTACCCAACAGAACGGCACTAGCCGTCTCCTCCGTCATCAGACAATGCTTCACAAATTCACGTATATGTGTTGAGAATGCACCGAAAATAAGGATGGTCTGCGGTCTGTACTTGGTGAACTTCTTAAAAGCAACTTCATTGAGGCTTGAGTCGTACGGTTCTACGTAGAAGACGATCTGATACTTATCATTGTTCCTGAGTATTTTAGCTGCCAAATCCGCCTCAGGCTTACCGTAGTCTAGCCCTGTGAGGTACATGATGCCAACACGCCTCGTCAGCAATATATTTGTGACATATCTGGCAAGCAAAATTATCTCGGCACGGGGGTCAGCTCGCGTGAAGAGGGCGTTCGGTGTCCATCCTCGTGAATGTATCGATGAGCCAAAAGGCGATAGGCACACGAGGTTGTTTTCCCTGACGACATCAGTTGCCAGTACAGCAGCGATATCTTTGTCCATGAATGGGCCCAGAATAGCAAGCAGTTCAGGATTGTCTCTGAGCTTCGCACGGATTGTAGCCGGTAGATCAGAGAACTCGTTGTCAGATACATTAATAAACTGTATTTTTCTCCCGTTGGCGCCAACAGAGCTGATGTTGTACAGGGCTGCGTTTACCCCAGCCCACAATGCGTCCACAGCATATTGTACTAATTTTTCACTGGTGTGCAGGAGATTGAGTATTTTGATGGGTGCTTTCATTCCTGTGTCCGGTTCCGCACGAACCGTCTCGCCAGATATTGCCGTGACGCATAGGAAAATTAGGGCGTATGTTAGCGCTGCACGGATATTTATGCCCGTGGAGCTTCGCGGCATCGAGGGACGAAACTCCAGCAGTAATTCGACCATTTCAGATCGAATACAGCTGTGTGTAGTGTAGAGTGGTGAAACAGCGATTAGTAGCTTAGTCTGTTTTAAGAAAAAAGATGCAGGAAAAAAGGAGTCAGGATTCTGAAAGATATTGAGGCATAACCGACAAATGCATCAAACACTCCACACGGAGCATAGCGCCTTTGACGACATAGTCCTGGAGTGCAGGATGTGCATTCAACCCGACAGCAAACACAGGAAAGAACATCCCAGGCCGATCCATGAACTGCTCTGTAGAGGTTCTACAAAAACACTTGGTATTAGCTAGACCCATGAGGTGGTCCCCACACGTCTTTCATGCCCTCCCTCAGGACCACTGCGGACCGAACCCTCCCCCTCTATCGTGAAAAGATTCATATACCGCTTCTGCGGATGTCTGTGGAACGGATCCAAACTGTCAGAGCGAAAGCATACCAGCACCACCTTCACGAGCCCACCCCAGTCGCGCACCTCCGCAAGCACAACATGCTGGCTATTCCCTCACACTGTCTCGTTTGACGTGTTTGCACACTGCCCTGCCGAGGAGAGAGAGAAATCGTAACAACAAAAAGTAAGCTGGGATGCAATGAGGACTGTTCTTTACCACCACGCATCTTAGCACCAATTGCTGCGCACAGTAGAGTACACCACTTTGAACCCTTTGGGTAGGAGAGGCGAGTGCAAACATAAAGGAATGAAAATTCGCGGATGCAGTGGTACTTTTCCATGGTTTCGACCTATAGAGGTATTTCCAAAGGAGGTGGAGGGAAGGTTCTATAGCTACAAGGTCCACATAATAACTACCCCGTGGGGCGATTTAAGTCTCAATTTTCTCCCCACCCTGGAGGGACACGTTGGATCCACCTGAGTGTTAATTTGTCTTGACACAAACATTAGTCTACAAGTCAAATTGCGCATCCTTGAAAAGATCCGCATGCTTCAGAGAGACACGGTGCTTTGCTTCCCTATAGGCGCCAGCAACCAGACCATCAAAGAGGCAGCACTTGAAACACACCCACCGGCGTAGTTTAGGGGTGTGCCTTGATACAATACGTCAGGGTTACCCACTTCCAAAAGAATTGCAACACTTCACGTAGGGAGTATCAGGGGAATAAAGTAGGTGGATAGCAATAGTGGCGTTGACGTCCGATTTCAACTTGGACTTTGGGATAGTGTTCCGCACAACGTAAAGTGAGGATCGTGCGATGTGGAAGAACATCTGCTTCCTTCGAAGCATAGGCATAGCGGGCACCGGTGATCATACTGACTGTGTGGTCTTGAGGGGATTCGAGACGCGCACAAGCTCCCTGAGAGGCGTGATAACACCAGAGAGTCGACAAAACATCGCGTCTAAATAGGCGGGATAGCGTAGACTTGACGATATTCCTTATGCTTTCTAGTGGTTCCGAGCATCGACCGACCTCAACTCCGAATGGCTTTCGATATTGGTCGTTGATGAACCGGCGACTATCAAAGTATAGCTGCGAAGGGTCAGGCAGTTGGATGTAAGGCAGCATGCTTCGGGAGCGGCCGCTAGCGCACGCCCAAGCCGAGGATATCCCGACCCACCACAAGGCTTGTCTCCAGTGCGTTA